ACCAAGGATAAGAACTTCCTTATACTTCTTTCCTAAACCCAATGAACACAAATTGTGCTATATAGAAGAGGTACATATCTCAATGACACTTTCAAGACCAGCAGGGCTGAGTCTACATAACTTAAAAAAATTGTTGGCATATGCATCAGGCACTTTATTACCCATTTAAAATAAGCTGTATGGTAATTCTCTTCCCTTTCCAATGTGTGTATTGGCTCCTTTCAGGTAAGTGTATCTTCTCCTTCCCATTTACTACTTCAGTATTGTCCACAGTATGGAAGAAAAATGTGAATCATGATAGCCTACCGATATTGAGTATCTGACATTCAACTAAACTCTAACTTATTTTAAACACACAATTAATTATTTAGCTCATTTTAGAACTATGTTAAAAAAAAGAATATTCCTCTCTGAATTTATTCAATGTATTCTAATATAGTAAAATATTCTATAAACTATGGATGTCTCATTCATTCAGTAGTTTTTTAAAATTAAAATCCACTAATGATCAATATACTTCATATAAACATTTGGAAATAAATAATTTCTAGACTAATTTACTGAATAACTTAAATGACATTCTACAAAAGGTAGAACTTAGAAAAATAGCAATGTGTTCGGAAATCCCAATTTGTGTAACTTGGTAAAAAGTGCAAACGGAACAAGATTTTGATGAAAATATGAAAAATCATTCAAAGTTTAACATAACCCCTAAATGGCTCTTGGATTTATATTAGAAAAGTGCATTCAATTTAAACAAAAATAAAGTAAAACAAGTGACCCCATTTACACAGGTTTATGATTCTTACATTCAAGCTTTTCCATATTATTATTGCCAAAGAGTTTTCTTAAACTTTAATGTTTTTAGTAAAAGTACCTCAATTAGAAAAAATATATAGTCCAGTAGTGTATTATTTGAATGTTGATTAATTACAGAAAACATTTTCCTAATAGCACAATTTTTTTTTAATTAAGATTTTTTTTCCTCCAACACTTTAATTTTCTAGTGGCGTAACATTACAAACAAGACCATGTCCCAAAGTTTCTAAATACCACTGTGTATTTTTGGACTAATGCTGGGGGGACTATTTTATATACCAACCTCTGCCATAATGTGTTCTTTCCAATAGTTAACAATAGCCAAAAGATCTTGAAAACAATCTGAGAAGAATCCATATTATAACTAGTTTGTAGGGAGTCACATGTAAAACCACAGTTCCTGAGAATTTTATATTCATATAGATAGGAAAAAAAAATTCACAAAATTTTAGTATTTCTTTCCCCACAAACAAGCAAGCAAACAAAAAACCTCGTAAGTGGCTATCTGGCAAAATTCAGGGCAAAGGGAGAGAAACCATCTGTCTTGCTGACTTAGAAATTAAATTTAATTTAATGTGCTATACCTTAAAATGTCTAAGGTATAGGAAACATCTTCAAGTGTTCAAAACAGGACAAATGTTTAATTTGATTCTCCATTAGGAAGGACACATAATATTTTCTAAGTAGAGGAAAAAAACCCTCTAAATCATTTAGTTTAAATGAATATTGAAAACTAAAAAATATTTCAAAGAACTGATGAAGAATATATTGCATACACAAAACAATTGTTTAACAGTAAGACTTTTACTAATTATGCATTATGCAACAGACATAGTTTCATTCTTCCAACAGGAAGTATTTGTTTCTGGGTATTGAAATTTTCATTGGCCTTGAAGAAAGTAGGCATCGATGATGTAAATATGTTAACATAATTTATCTTTTCCTTCAAAAATCTCTGCCATATTCACTTTACATACCACACACACAAAAATAAAACTGAAAATAATCCAAATGTCTAACAATAGGTGTATACCATACATCAGAATACTGTACAGTGGCTTTTCATTTTTAAAAAACACACAACTAGATCTACATTATTAACATGAACAAATCTCCAAAATAACGTTGAGTGAAAAATGAAAGTTGCAGAATACATGTAAGAGTACGAGGTCAATTGTATCAGTTTAAAAACACACAAAAGACTACATATTATTCATGGATACATACATATGCAGAAAAGGTATAAAAGCATGTACAGAAATAATACACATCAACTTCAGAATAGTGGTTACCTACAGGGAAGATAGAGAATGGATAGAATGAGATGGGTACAAAGGGGGCTTTAACTCTACCCACAAAGTTGAAAATTACAAAAAGATTTGAAACAAATATGGTATGTTAACATTGTTCAATCTGGTGGTGTTACACAGAAACTCATTATATTATTCTCTATACTTTTCAATTTTGAAATCTTTCATAATAAAAATAAAAACATTCACAGAATAAAGAAAAAGTTGAATCACCGCTGCCATTTCCAGAATAAATAATTTGGTATGCTAAAACACAACACAGGCTTTCTTTTCCCAAATAAGACAATAAATATTAACAGAAAACATTATATAATTGACAATGTACACTTTTGTAAAGAACCACTGATTATTATATTAAAAAATACAATTAAAGAACAGGATTTCAATGCTTCTACTTCAAAACTCTACCTTTGCTTGAGTTAGAGGATCTAATTTCACACCACAAACAGGCTTTCCTTGCTTTAGAGAGTACCCCTTTGAATTTTCTTGTATGCCACTTCCTTTAAATGTGGTTGAGAATAAAAGGCTTAGTGTACAACAGGGTATAGCAGAGACCTAGCTAACTGTAAGTTAAATAAGACTAATGAATACATTGTATTCTCATATAAACTAACAGTGGCTCAATTCAAAGATAATAAATTATTTCCAGTACATAAACTTTCACTTTTCAGTTTGAAACTTTTAACCTGTAAGGGAAATATATATGGTCTGTTACTTTGTTTACCAAACATTTTTTTTCTTGTCAGGAAAGCTTTCCCATCTTTGTCAGATTAATACTTCCTTGATCACAGATGAAGTCTTTCAAATTAAAGATAAACAACTACTTGCCTGTTGTTTCTGATATGCAGTGTTTGGATTTATCTTTGATTCCAAGAGTAGTGATCCTGAAAGATAAAAAAATAATAATAACATGTATAAGTTTTAATTTATAAAACCTGAATAAAAAATCAGAGTCCACATTAAAAAAAAAAATCATTGCATGTTCCCTTCACTCAGCTAGATATCTGAAGTATTCACATTTTTCTCTCCAGATCCGAACTTCATATTTAATTTAGAACTTATCATCCTATTCCAAGAAACCCTTAAATGGGGGGGGGGGGGGGGGACCCCCCACCTAAGATAAACATTCAGACCAAGAATATAAGGATGTAATACTTTAAAACAATAACGAATTTAAATAAACAAATAAATAAGACTATAAGGAGACTTGATGACTATTAAAGTTTTATTGAAATGAAATTTTAAGGTCTAAATGACCACTTGAAGCCAAACTCTTTTTTAACAGTTATTTTATTGCATTTCCAGTTTAACAAAATAAAACAAATTACAAAGGACCACAACAAATACACAAATTACAGAACTGCTTTTCTCCTTAAGAACAAAAAGGACACTGCATGTAGACATAAACGCCCGTGACTATTTTTAAAGGAAAAGTACAAGCGTACAAAATACATCACGAAGCAATCTAAGGTAGTTTATGCTCCCACTGTCTGCACATAGTTCCAGATTACAACGAGAAAGGCGTTTTAACTACGACCGTACATTTCATGATTTAGGAACACTTGCCCCAGGACTCGTATACAATAAATAAGTCCACGAATAACGTGTGCACTGTCTGCTTTGGCGCCCCGACTGGTTGAGGGGGGGGGCAAGAATTCACAGCCGGCCGTGACCCCGGCTTTCACAGGTGCCTTCAGGTTTTCCCCAGCACCTGCCGACTGTGGCAACGGGGGGCTCGGTGGGAACATCCGTTCAAGAACAAAGACTCGGAAAGGAAAGTTCCGCTGAACCTTTGGTATCAGACACAGACTAGATAACAACGGAGACAGGAGGGAGCAGGGGCTCCCCAACGAGGAGCGATCAACACCCCGTGAGCTTCCTGCCCTCTCCTCTCTCCAAAAGCAGAGACCGGAGAGGAAGGGGTCAAGTCCTTAACCGGGACAGGAGGCGGGGGAACAGCGCACAGGCGTCGGACTGAGGGTGAATCCGGACAAAGTCGTTTGTTTTTACCGGACAGAAGTGCGGAAACAAAACCCAGGCTCTGTGTCCGAGGCGGCAGTCCCAGCACCCCGCCTCCGGCCTCCCCCGCAGGGCTGTGCCTTACCGGGAAGCACTCCCCCCCCAGCCTACCGTCCCAAAAACCTTACCGTCGGACTCCGCCCGAACCAGCAGCGACATCCCCTTGAGCTCCTCCACGTAAGTGGACGAGACGTGCCCGGTGCCTCGGTCGTCCCATTGCCGGTCTTCATTCAGGGTATAGACCTTCACTCGCCGCCGCGTATCCGACATCGTGGCCGCTGTCCCCACCGGTCCAGACGCCGCCTCCACGTCCCCCTCGTCCTCGCCCCTCACTCTTGAGAAACGGTAGCGGCGGCGGCGGCGGCTCCGGAGAGGCCCAAGTTCACCATGGCTCTCAAGGTTCAGCCGCGGAAAGGGGCAACAAGAGCCACCGGGACCTCTCGGCCGGAGTCCCGGTACCTCTCACTGCACCCACACACACACCCACCCTCCCCTCCCTTTGCCCCCCAGAGCTCGCTCGCTCTCCCGCCGCCGCCGCGGTAAGCACTACACATCCGCCATCTTGTAACCCGATTCTCTGCCTTTCTCTTCCTCCTCCAGCAGGCTCGCACGGGCTGTCCTAGCAGGGGCTACGGCGGCCGACGAGGCCAACGCACCGCCGCCAGCTTCTGCTCGCGCTTCCAAGGCCAGCAGCACTCGGCGTTCTCGCGAGGCGGGGTGCTGAACCGAGGTGGGCGGGCCTGAGTGCGCGTTCTTCCTTTCTTGGCCACGCCTGCTGGCGCGGGATCTCGGCCGAGGTAGTGGTTCTCGCGATATCCTCGCCCCCTGCTAGTGACGCGAGACTTTCTGAGTAGGCGGGGAGGACTGAGTCTTGGTCTCGCTTCTCCCGTTTTGCACCCGGCGCGTGACGAGTCGTGCGACCCATCTCCGAGGAAAAGCAAAACAAACATGGGAGGTACGCATCCTTGGACGGGAATAACCCTGAGCAAAAAGGAAGGAGATGTGCTCGCACTCCGTAGTGGAAGCTCCCTCTGTCAGCTCTGGGAGGAAAATAGTTGAAACTTCTGTGAAAATGTAGGAACGCGGAGTATTTTCAGGCAATCTGAAAACCAGATTGGAGTCTGTTACAGTTAAGCATCTCCTCAGGAAGTGTTTGTTCTCTGCAGCTCCTGAGGATTATAACGTCGTACCGAAAAAAGAAAAAAGTGTTGACATTTTCCTATTTCCCGCCAAAGCGTTTCGCCGATAACTTTGGTAGCTGGCCATTGGGAAGCATACTTTCCGCTTCATGAAAATACAGACCCCTTATGGTGGTGTAACCTCAGAAAATGAGCCTTACTAGTAAGATAAGTTTAGGGAACTGGTTGAGAGCCCCCTTTCTAACACACCCAAGAGCATTGTTTTGGCGTTTTAAAAAAGTGTCTCTTGTGGGCATTTCTTGCGCTACGTATCGGGGTGTCTTGTGCGCTGAATAAGCGGAGGAGGAATTCCCGGGGCAATTCACGTTAGTTGTCAAACATTGGTGGCGTCAAGACGTGCACTGCGCAGTTGTTTATTTTAATCCCCGTTCGTTCTTGGTAGAATCCTTTTATTCCTCCTTTAAGACAGTTTCGGCTTGTTCCGCCGCCAGTTCTCTGCAATCCATTAGCTTGAAAGGTGAAAATCAGGCAGGCAAGATGCACGTGTTGACCCTGCAGGGCATTCTGGGAATTGTAGTCATTACTTAATGGTCTTGTCAAAACGTGCTTTTGTTTTGACTAGCTCCTCTGTGTGGACACCCTTCCGCGGTGCTTTAAAACGAGAGACAGTGTTTTACACAGAGGAGGCGCCTGATAAAAAATAAATCCTAATATCAAAATCTGAATACACAGGGTTGTTTTTTAAATTTAAAGAGGACCTGGGAACCCATTCACTGCTATGATTGATATGGAAAAAAGGCATTTTGAACTCCTGAGAAAACATTTCTGTCTTGGGTCAGAGCAAGCTTCACATAGAAAACTTTGAGCCTGATGTTGGAGGATCCCTGAGTGGGAGTTTAGTTTGCAAAGGTGTTCAAGGCTGAGGGGATAGGGCAAACAAAGTGATAATGTGTTACTGGCCTAAAATAACATATAAATTTATATATGTCAAAGGAATGAGAACTATACAGAAGTCACTTTATGTGTTAAGAGGTTAATAGCCTCTGGGCAAAATTGGGAAATAATATGAATCATTTTCTGAATTTATTCTGTCATTCAATAAATATTTGTTGAGCATATGCTATACAGTAGACATTGGTGAATAAAATAGAAAAAGCTCCTCTTTTCTTGGAGCTTATATTCTAGTATAAGAAGACAAACAAATATATGCCAGGTACTGATAAACATTATGACCAAAAATAGAGTAACAAAAAGGTTAGAGTGAATTTGAGACTTCTTGTTTATTCAGAAGTCCTCTGAGGAAGGGGCAAGCGGGCCAAGCTTTTCCCCAGGGCAAGAGAGAGAGATCCAGGAACCTGGAAGCAAGTACAAAGGCCTTATGGCTGTTGCATGTTGAAGAAGTGAGTGGGATAGCAAGGAAACCAGTGTGACTGAAGTGGGGCAGAAAAGGGGGAAAATGGTGAAAGATAAGGTTGGAATTGGGACAGGGGATATTTTGAAGGGCCTTGGATTTTACTTTGAGTTGCAAATCTATTGGAGAGTTTTGAAGTTATGTTTCAAAGCAACTCTCCCATCTTCTCTTCAGAATTTCTTTTCTGCTATAGCCCCTGAGATCTGGTGACTGAGAAATAAAGGAGCAGATTAAACCCCTAGGACTCATCCCTATGCCTTACTAGATCCTCAAGTACAAGTACTGCAGTGGGTCAGAGGGATTCACTCTCACCTACTGCAGTAGGCCCATCTAATATTTGTAGAGATGGACATTTGCAAGGCCAGGGCAAGTATACAAATGGAAGACCGTATACCATAAGTCTAAATATTTGTAAGTTTTAAATCAAGCTAACTGTTGAAATATATTTTCTCCAACCTTTGGTATACTTTGACAAATATATTTTCATAATGACCTGGAAGCCAGAATCAAATCTAGAATTCTTGATTTCCTTAAGTTCCAGAGTCTCCCTCTGGGCCCGTATAGTCTGCCTTCCTTCTCTTCTCACACCTCAGCTCTGTCCTGCAGTTTGACAGTCCTTAGTTGCACACAGAGGATATACCAGCCTTTTGCCCAAGCTCTGTCTACACTTCCTGAATATAGTCAATCCCCCCCTTGGCCACTCTTCAGGAAGATAGAACTTGGGAAGAGTACTGTGTAGACCAGCCGTGGGCAAACTACGGCCCGCGGGCCGGATCCGGCCCGTTTGAAATGAATAAAACTAAAAAAAAAAAAGACCGTACCCTTTTATGTAATGATGTTTACTTTGAATTTATATTAGTTCACACAAACACTCCATCCATGCTTTTGTTCCGGCCCTCCGGTCCAGTTTAAGAAGCCATTGTGGCCCTCGAGTCAAAAAGTTTGCCCACCCCTGGTGTAGACCTTGGAAGCAGGCTTGGCCTTTGGGGTGGACACATCTCTTGGTTCCATGGACTTAATCACCCCAGGGGAAGAAGCATGGATAGAGAGCCAGAACAGGTCCTTCTAAAACACAGGGCCCAGTGGTTACTTGGGTCTGAGGGCAATATTGCATTGAAACAATGTGTTTTTCCCAGCAAAGATTCTTTTCTTCAGTCATCAAAGCTCCACTCCAAGGACAGATATATTTATATAATTTATATATAATCTTATATAATAAAAGCCTGATATGCTAAGTGTCCGGTTGTCCGTACAGCTAATCAAAGCGTAATATGTTAGTGATATGCTAAGGCCGCTCAGCCACTCGCTATGACATGCACTGACCACCAGGGGGCAGACAGTCGACCAGTCAACCAGTCGCTATGATGTGCACTGACCACCAGGCGGCAGACACTCTGGTAGCTTAGCTTGCTGTTGGGGTCCGGCCTATTGTGACTGAGTGAGAAGGGCCGGACACACCCTGGAACCCTCCCGGGCTGGCCAACCTCCCATGGCCCTCTCTAGGCCCGATCGTGCACCGGTGGGGTCCCTCATCCTGGCCTGCACCCTCTTGCAATCCTGGACCTCTTGGGGGATGTTGGAGAGCCAGTTTCGGGCCCAGGCCAGGCCGAGGGACCCCACTGGTGCACAAATCCGTGCATGGGGTCTCTAGTGTTTATATATTTACTAGTACATCTACCACTTTTAAAAAAACACGAATAATGGAATATCATATGCACTGTTGCACAAATTAACCCTAGTGTATTTAAACCATCTGTTTATGTATATGTGTGTCATTTCAATAGTTTGTATTTCAAACAGAAATGACTGTACGGAAGTTATTTCATGTGTGCCAATATATTTGTAGATTAAATTCCTAGAGCAGGTTTTTTAAACCTTGGCACCACTGATATTTTGGGCTGGATAATTCTTTGTTGTGAGAGGCCATCCTGTGCATTACAGGATATTTAACTGCATCCCTGACTTCTACTCACCAGATGCCAGTAGTACTGTACCCCCTCCTCCAGTTGTGAATACCAAAATGATCTCCCATCATTACCAAATGTCCCTTGAGGACACATTACACTTTTAAAAAAAATTCTTGAGGATTTAAAAAATATATATTGTTAATCTCTACAGGATAAACTGGATTCTCAATCTCATTGACTCATGTCCTTGAAATGTGAAGCTTTCTTTTTTTTAAATGAAATAATGTTTATGAAAGTTTTTAGATATATATTCACTCATTTTTTCCTGAATGTGATCAATCTAAAAAAAATAGCCGACCTCCAGACAACATTGCATCCTGCTTACTCATGAACTTTCTGGACCATTGCCCACAACCAATCCATAAAGCAACAAGTAGTTCTTCCTTAGGGACTATTCACCTATCCAAGAACTTTCCCCATTTCGCCTTTTCCCACCCGGTCTTATCTATAGCCAGTGTAAATTCATTCAAAACAACTTACATCTTCCCCAAACTCTTTATATAAGACTTGTCTACTCCATCGAGCCCTGCTGCTGGAGGTTTAGACTGCACACCCTAGGCCAGTGATGGCGAACCTTTTGAGCTTGGCGTGTCAGCATTTTGAAAAACCCTAACTTAACTCTGGTGCCATGTCACATAGAAATTTTTTGATATTTGCAACCATAGTAAAACAAAGACTTATACTTTTGATATTTATTTTATATATTTAAATGCCATTTAACAAAGAAAAATCAACCAAAAAAATGAGTTTCGCGTGTCAGCTCTGACATGCATGTCATAGGTTCGCCATCACTGCACTAGGCCCTGGTCCTTTCTCTGGCTAACATGGCTCAATAAACTCTTTCAGGATTACTTTCGGTTTTGAAGAGTTTTAACAACCGGAAGCCTTATCAATAACAATCAGTCGATTAATGTATTTTGTATGTTATGTTTTATTCACTATCTACACTAATAAAAGAGAAACATGCAAATTGGTGTCACGCTGCTATGCCCACCAACCAATCAGAGCGACTATGCAAATTAACCCAACAAAGATGGCGGTTAATTTGCATACTCAGGCCGAAGCGAAGACTGAAGACTGAAGAGGCTTGGCTTCTCCGCTGCGGCTGGACCAAAGGCCTGGGTCCTGGGTGCCAGAGGAAAACCGGTGCCAGCAGCCAGGGGAAGGAAGGCCTATTGTGCGAATCTTCGTGCAACGGGCTTCTAGTATTCTTATAATAAAGTAAGCTAAAGAAAATATTCTGAAAATACATTCACAGTATTTATTGAAAAATGCCTGTATTAAGTGGACCTGTGCAGTTTAAAACTTGTAACCAATTCTAGACTTAACCACTGAGTGGTCTTTGTGAAAAAATTTGATATTAATGTCTTTGAATCTTTTTATTTCTTGTAGGATAAAGTTCTTTAGGATGGCATGCAAAGCTCTTCAGGATTTGGCC